CTCGCCCTAAGAGTGCTGAGAATAGTGATAGTGACAGTGACACAGAGACCTCACCATTAGGAGATACATTTATAACAAGGTAGCTACTAAACATAGCGTGCAAAGAAAGAAGTGTCTGATCTAGTGAAGTCGGCTATATATCGTACTTGTGAATTTTGTTTTTGACTTGCCAGATGGACATTAGAAGTGAAGATTTTTGGGAAATTCAAATTACAGAAGAACTGTAATAAATCATGCTATTCAAAAACGTTTTGTGGACTAGTTGAAATGACTTTTGGGCTAGTACATGATAGCTAAAAGTTGCCTGAATAGCAAGTTGTAAAACTGACTTTCTTTGCACCCTGTAAGTAGTTTAGATCTGGCCTGATGGGCTGCTTGGCTCGTATACAGACTTTACCTCCTAAACAGCTTGAGACTCTTGTACAATATGAAGTGGGATACTTTGGCGTAAGATTACGCTCCGCAGGTTTAGGGCCTTGGTTGATAAAATGAAAGTGCACCTTGAGTGCAGTTGTTCCTTTAGAGTAGCTCACTATGTAGTTCCAGCATATATCCCAAACCCTCCTCCCTCACAGAGGAGACTAGTACACTTTTTTTTGGAGGGGGGGTCTAAAAGACTCTAAGCAATGCATGAAGCTTAATTGCAATTGGAATTCCACAGGAGAGGGGATTTATAGAGCGAATACCTCCCCTTGGTGTGCAGGGGTATATGGATATTTTCTGGAATTTCTCATTTACCATAAGAGTGTCCAAAAACAGTACTTATTGAAGTCTAATTTTTATGTATTGTTGAAATACTGAAGAACAAATAAACAAATGCCATTTGAGATCTTATGTAGGATTTTGCATGCAGGGCTCCACCGTATTTGTGGAAAGAGTTGACCTATGGTCGGCTTTTGTAGTATCTAGAAGCTTTCTCTTTTACAGCCAGTCCTGTGGCTGGAAGTTCTCTTCAACCTAGACATAAGCCCAGCCTATTTGATGTTCTGATTAAATCAGTGGAAAGAGAAGTAGGCAGGTTTATTTGTCATCTATTTTTGTTAACTCATTTTGTACCACCCATTGAAGAAAACTAAAAAATTCTCCTTTGTTATTTCAGTACATATATTTATGACGGCGATGTGGAGAGGGTGACCAAAAAAGCCACTGGCTCCAGTGAGGGTGGAATGGTGCATGAAACAGTTGAAAGGTCAGTCTGAATTGTGTG